TGTTAAAATCTTCTGATACCTTAATGATCATTTCATGGCCTATTACTCTCTCGTCGAATCCTTTTGCCATTCTTCTTCCACTCTTCAGTTCTATGTCTTTTTTAGCTTTTCGTTGACTTCTTCTGCTTCTTCCATTCAGCATTTGGCATTCTCGTTAGAAAAATCCTAGTTAGAAAACAGCTTCCTGCTGATACACCTACTCCACTGGATTCAACTCAACGGGAAGGGTGGTGTGGTGGTCAGCCAGAGGGTTCTGGGTCGGAGTCCCTGGGGGAACCAGGACCAGAGGGTTCTGGGTCGGAGTCCCTGGGGGAACCAGGACCAGAGGGTTCTGGGTCGGAGTCCCCGGGGGAACCAGGACCAGAGGGTTCTGGGTTGGCCAATGTTTTTCTTACTATTTATATAAGATATCTGATAACTGGGGTCTCCTCCTGATGCTGTATTGGTCCTGGGGGATGCTCATCAGAGGAGTTCAGGGTGTGAGTAGGTCCAGAGCAGAGCAGAGTGGCTGGTGTCCAGAGCAGAGCAGAGAGGCTGGTGTCCGGGCCCCTCTGAGCCGGTGATAAAGGGTCAGAGGCCTCTGCTCCGTCAGGGGTTATTTTAGGAGGATGGCTTCACGAGATAAACGGTATTTAAGGCCGCCGGAGAGCCATCCGCCTTCACTGGGAGCGCAGCACAACGACCGGGACCCGAGGAAGGTAGGCCGCCGTTTCCTCTGTGTGGGACGTTCCCGTTCGGGAATGGGAAGTGGAGCTGTATTTTTTACAACTCACAAGTTTTACCGGGAGGGGTTCGTTTTTATGCCGAGCTCCAGAACCTTCTGGGGGCTTTTGTCGGAGTAAAGCCGCGGATCCGGGAGCGCCACATGCCAGTCCCATGAGCCACTCCCTGATACCAGGCTGGAATGTCTGATAAGAGGCCGGGACGCCTCAAAGCGGGCATTCAGGGCACGTAAGAGGAAAGTTTGACAGGTCACAATGAAGCTAATCAGGACTGATTTGTCTAAAAGAATCCTGGAAACAGACTGAAAAAAATATGGTGATGAGTCTCTAGTAGGAGTTCAAATTTAGTCCAGTAACGGACTGATTGTCAGAATCAGAAATACTTAAATAATCCCAGAGGGAAATTATCTAAATAATTATTTATTCAATTATGATTCTAAAACTCCGTCCAGGCCAGTCTCACATAATCTTCAGTGTTTTAAGAATTAAACAGAGGATCAAAATTGGTCTCTGATCTTCTCCCAAAAGGTGTTTTTGATTAAACGTCAACTTAATTAATAATAAGTTATTGACTGTTATCCAGAGGAAAAAAAGTCACTTGGTGCTTCAGTTAATTTTTTTGGGGGGGTTAAGCTATTAAATTTATTAGTCACTTGATTTGACGTCAGGACGCTGGTGAAGGGCTCAGAAGGAGCCTCCCCTCCAAGGTTTGAATCAGAAGCCCCTCCCAAACATTAACTGGAGCTCATGCATGTCACACCGGCACATTTAAGAAAAAGAACTGAAGGATTTGTCACAAAAATGCAAATTTCTGATGCTCTCCACTTACCAAAGGGAACACTGCAGGAACTCTCCTTTGGGGGTTTTATTCATGGTCCGTCCCAGGGATTCTGGCTCTGCAAAAGCATAGAGAAACATCTGATTCTGGTTTAAATGACTAACCAGGAAACTTAAAAACAAGACATGCAATATTCCAAATGTAAAGGTTTCTCTGTATTTTTAAACCGGTCCTGAAGGGCTGCTGTCCTTCAGGCATCCGATGTTTCCCTGTTCCAACATAGCCTGAGAAACATTCTGAGTATACCAGTTTAATCAGAATTGAGGATGCTGAAGCGGGGAAACCTCAAATCTGCACAGTACCAGAAACCCCGAACCACACAGCCTTTTCCCAGCTCCACAAACGGGGTGATTCCGGCCACATTTGTCCTGCTGACCCGTGTTCCCCATCTCATGATATTCTGCCTCCTGTCTCAAAGATGCCGAACTGGGGAGGAGGCGCCAAGTGCGCGGCCTGTGAGAAGACGGCCTACCACGCCGAGGAGGTCCAGTGCAACGGGAGGAGCTTCCACAGGAGCTGCTTCATCTGCAGTGAGAAGCTGCTTCTGTTCTGCTGACTCAGCTGCTGGTTTCTAACAGCACGCTGCTCACGCCGCTGCAGGCTAAACCGGCTCGATTTACATTTTCCTTCAGTTAACCTCTTGGTTCCCCCCCACCCCCCCTCCCCGATCCCGATTCGACTGAGGAGCCTCTGGCTGCAGTCTGTAGGACCATTTTGATTAGGTCATGTGACTAGCAGCTTTTTTCAGGTGGAAACCAAACTTTACTGTCTATATGAAATCGAAAGAGCAACAATGTCCTAACCCTAACCCTAACCCTACGCCTAACCCTAAACCTAACCCTAACCCTAACCCTAACCCTAAACCCTGACCCTCCACCCGTCATAATTGTGAGAAATAAATATTTTTTGGTTAAACTTGTTTGGACTTATTGTACAAAACCTATTTAACATCCACTATTTTAACATAATATTATGGATAGAGTTTAATTCAGTGTTTGCAAGATTCATTTCACTATTTCTAAATTAATGTCTATATTGCCATGAAGCTATTAGGATTTTCCTATTGGTGACCTAATCAAAATGGCCGATTTGGATATGGGCGGAGTTGGATATCCATCCTTGGCTTCCTGCAGTCTGCAGCCAGACGGACTTGATTTGACTGCTTATAATCTCCCAGCAGCTGCATTTTATTCCCATGACGCCGCGTAACTCCACAAACCCCTGTTATCAGTGTCCTATCCTGGTCCCTCGCTCTGCGGCTGGTCGGGGGGGGGTCTTTGTTGCCCTGAGAGGCCTCCGATAAGCTGGCCCACCTGCCTGGTGTTCGTCTTTCCTCCAGCGTTCAGCTCACACTCGCTTCTCCCCCTGAAAATAGAAACACAGGACATCACACAGGCTGTGTTCTGCCCCCGCTGACCGATAAAAAAGAGAGCCAAATCACGTTTACATGATGGAACATGTGACGGCCCAATGACAGATGACAGTCCCTGTGGACCCCAGCTACTGAATATCTTGCTTAGGACACTTATACACTTATACTATATCCATGTATTATTACTATTATTATTATTAAGGCTTCTTTAAATCTAAAATATCCCTTTTTTCTGGAGTATACAGAACTTGCTAAGATACTGTATGTGCTATACAATAGTTTTTGTGACAGATTAGACCAAATTTCTGTTTTATTTTTTATTTGTATTTATCTTTTTTGTCTGCCTGTCTCTGTCTGTTGTTCTTTATTATACTAAGTGCCTGCTAATCCACATTAAAGGCAATAAAGTTTAAAAAAATAAAGCCACGGTGCCCTCTGTCCCTCAGTGAGCTGCAGAAAGGGGCTGGACAGCACCACCGTGGCTGCGCACGAGTCTGAGATCTACTGCAAGTCCTGCTACGGAAAGAAATACGGGCCCAAGGGCTACGGATACGGCCAAGGAGCCGGGGCCCTGAGCTCCGACCCCCCCGGACAGGACCAGGAGCAGCAGCCCGACCAGTAGGTCCGCCGCCCGGCTGGGACCTGCTCCCACCCTCTGGTCCTGACCTCTCAGTTTTTCCTTTTCTAGTTCCAAACCAGAAAAGACCTCCCCAAAGCCGAACGCCAACAAGTTCTCCCAGAAGTTCGGGGGGGCGGACCGCTGCCCCCGCTGCTCCAAAGCAGTGTACGCCGCCGAGAAGGTGATGGGAGCCGGGAAGGTAGGAGCCGACTCCTTCTCCAATGGGGAGCTCCGCTCTGCTGGCTCAGCTCCTGAGTGGCCGGCAGAGGGTTGGAACTGAAGAGTTCACTCAGCTCTCACGCAGATAGAAAATGCTAAAGGAAAAAAAGATACAGGCGGATCTCCACTCTTTAGCAGGTCGCTCTGATTCCCAGTCCAACTCTCAAAAGAGCTCAATGTGGAGGGAAGCATATCTCAGAAAGAGGCTCAATCCTGGTGACCAATTTGTTCATTTGATCAATCTCTTTTTTATGCAAGAGCTTAAAGCTCTTAACAAAGTCAATATAGGATTGAATTTTGATTAACTTAAGGAAGAATGAACCAAATTTTACATAAAAAAAAGCATTCCAGTAGATAGAGTGGAAATGAGTCTGACTCCTTAAGCATGAAAATGATAGTATAATGGTTTGACCTCTGGCTCCGGCTCTGCTGCTGGTGGTTCAGAGGCCGGCCGGGGCTCCGGTTCCTCCCCTCTCAGCTCTGCTGTTTCTGCGTTGGCAGCATTGGCACAAAACCTGCTTCCGCTGCGCCCTGTGTGGAAAAAGCCTGGAGTCGACCACGGTGACGGACAAGGACGGAGAGCTGTACTGTAAAGGTGCGTGCCGCCTTTTCCTCTGCCTCCACCACAGACTGACATCCCTAACGGATGTCCCCCCCACACACACACACAGTTTGCTACGCCAAGAACTTCGGCCCCAAAGGATTCGGGCTGGGGAACGCCGCCATGCTGGAGGAGCGAGAGTGAGCCGTGTCCAGACCTGGAAGGCAGCCGGAGGACATCTGTAATACACCAGGGATGCCACAAGCAGGGGCATTACATCCCTTAGCTTAGTTTGAAACTTCCTGTTGTATGAAGAATTGGGCAAAATAAATGTAATTTTTTTACAGCAAACGGTCAATTCTGTTAGTTTGTTGGGACCTGAAGTGACGGAACACATTTAATCGATCAAACATCTAAAAATAAATGTATAAATATGTGTGTTAAATTAGCTGTTAACTGAGGCTCGTTAAACCTGATTAATGACAGAAGTCCTTCAATAATTACCCAGAAGTTGGAAACACCAGAAAGGCCAGAGCGGTGAGTGATGAATGGGTTGGTTTGGGGGCGGTCCAGCCTGGATGGGGGGGCACTTTTACCAGCCCTGAAACAGGAACCTAATCTCCGCCCACACGGTAAATCTTTTCCCATAACTTTGGTTAAAGTTGTATGTGTTCAGCCAGAGTTGCTATCAAATGTCCTGCTAATTACTGGCTTTAATTATTCATAAAACCCAAATCCCCCAAATGTTCCCACAGAAAAGTCCAAGAAACAGGCACAATGTTCCTTTATTGAATGATAGTGATCCGTTCTTATTAAACCCATGCAACTTTTACAAAAGTCATAAAACCAGCGATTTTTACATAGAAAGATTCCTTTTTTTCTCCCATAACAGATAATAAAAATAGGCTTAAAGTGTTCATTAAAAACATCACAAAACTTCCATAATATTTTAGGCCTTCGGGTTCTTTTTTCCTCCTCTCCCAAACTGAGACTTTTGATATTCTCTTTACTTACATCAGTCAAGTATAAGGCAGCGGGAGTCTGTACAAAGATCAGCTGAATCAAACCGTATCCACACAGTTTTGTGAATTCACACTTTAAGTGTTGTGGTCCCTCTCTTCACCACGTAGAAAAAATAAATAAATACATTCTGTACTTTTGGTCCAGAACCACAGTCTGACCCTGAGTGTGTGTGTGTGTGTGGGGGGGTAGGAGGTCAGACCATGTTGACTTGATCGAACAGGAACTGGTCTCGCTGGGGGGCGAACTGGAGCGTCCAGTCGACGGCGGACGGCTTGAAGAGGCCGCAGCAGCGCAGCTGGAAGAAGGACACCAGGTTCTGGACCACGCCCATGCTGCAAGGCAAAGACTGGGGGGTCAGGGGGGGAACCAGCCCCGCCCGCTTTCATCCGCCCTAAAGACACTCGCTCCCAATCTGTAGTTTCTTTGTGACTCAATTTAAAGGCCCCCCCCGGATTGGACCCCCCCCAACTTATGACATGTGTGGCTCTGCTCATCCTGTTAAACCAGGTTCTTCATCCTGAAACCCGCATCTTTCCTTTTACATGGATCAAGCTGTCCGCACCCCCCCAACGAAACTGCTTTGGACAACCCAGAGAGTCCAAAGGATCTACTCCTAAAGTCTCTCAGGCTACAGAGGCCCCTCAGGCTTTTAATTACAGACGGCTGCCTCCATATTCAGAGCTGTGCGTTCCCAGGCTGAAAAGTGTCTGGCAGGGCCCAAATTAGGCTGATGTGGGCTCGTAAAGTAGTAAAAAAATAAATAAATAAACACATAAAAAGAGGAAATTTCACCAAACCAATAAAAACTGAAAAAAGAAGTAAAAAAATTAAATAAAATTAATTAAAAAGAATAGACTTTTGAAGACAAACCTAGAATAAGCCAGCAATTTTGCATATGCTGGTTATTCATTTTGGCCACTGCTGTGAGACAAATGAAACGCTGTCCCCCTGCCGGGGGACACAGACACGTCTGACCTCTGAGCGGGGCTGGTAAAGGAGACGTGACGTCTGAAAGCAGCTCAGGGGGGGTCCATGACAGGTTAGAGTGTTATGCCTCGTCTGTATGTCAGAATTACTGCTAATATCTCCCCATAAGGACCCCTTAAAATATCTGTTTGTCCTACTCACTTGAAAGGATTCTGTCTCAGGGGGACGGACTGTCTCAGCTTCTTCTGCTGAAACATCATGGTCACTCGTTCTGCTGTGGTTATTCCCAAAAACGCCACCTGCTCCGACACAGAGAGGGAAGAAAGGTAGACGCACACCGTGAGATACAGAACACCACAAAGCCCGAGCGCACAGGACCCGATGTTTCTGGCTCCTCCCAAACGGGGATCTGCCCCCCGTCCTTCCTAGAGGAGGACCGGAGCGCCGGTCACCTGGTAGAGCTGCTGCAGCAGAGTCAGGCCGAACAGGCAGGTGAAGTAGAAGGCCAGGAGGAAGATGCCCAGCACCCAGGGGGAGCAGCTGACGAGGGCGGGGACGGCGCCCCACAGCCCCTGCTCCTGGTAGTTCAGCTGGCAGTGGGCCTGCCAGTCTGGGGACACACACACAGCCGGGGTGAGCTTTTTCTGTTAGCCGGGTTCAGAGCCGGCAGACGGCCGGGGGCCACCGCACTCACGTCTGAGGCAGCCGTAGAACATCCAGGCCCCCATCAGCACGAAGGAGAACACAAAGAGGACGAAGTAGTGATGGTTCCTGGCACCTGGGGGAGGAGAAAGGTCACAGCTGGCGTTTGACCGGCAGAAAAACACACAAAACTCAACAAGCGCCAGCTGACATTGTGTAAAAATAAAAAACAGGCCTAAATGTCTAATTCTATCTAAAAATTCTGGTTGCATACTGTAAACATTTGGGGAAAACTGTGTATTACTCTTAATATAATAAAAATTTTGTAGTTCTCCCTTCAGAGTCAGTCAAAAGTCTCAGGACACCGTTTTAATGTATAAGTTAAAGGGAAAATGACGTATCTGAATTCCCCTCTGTGGCCGCCATCTTGTAAGTCGCCATATTGGATCAGGGGGGAGTTGTTTTTTTTTATCAAACAAGACCAGAATTGTCCCAGAAATTGATCGCTGCAGTCAGGTTTGAAATATCTTGTGTGGTTTAAAAGTGACCACCACAGAACGGTGCCTGTGATGCTGAGCTGTTCCCAGGAGCTGAAGACAGGATCCAACCATCAGGACCCCGCATGAGAACGGCAGGCAATCAGCTGGGTTCAGCATTTTGAAAGCCTTTCTCATTTCTACTGATTTTGATGGCTCGTCATACCCTTGAGGCTATAGACTATCCATCCATCCATTATGGTAACCTCATACTCCCTAATGGGGTTGCGGGGAGAACTGGAGCCTATCCCAGTAGCCAATGGGGAGAGGCGGTGTCACCCCGGTCCATCACAGGGATACATAGAGACACACAAGGACCAACAACCACACACACTCACACTAAGGGCAGTTTGGAGTCCAACCAACCTAACATGCAGGTTTTTGGACGGTGGGAGGAAGCCGGAGAACCCGGAGAGAACCCACAGACACAGGAGAACATGCAGACCCACCCAGAAAGGTCCTGGTTACCCCGGGACTCCAACCCAGAACCCTCTGGTCCTGGTTCCCCCGGGACTCCAACCCAGAACCCTCTGGTCCTGGTTACCCTGGGACTTTAACCCAGAACCTTCTTGCTGTGAGGCGACGGTGCTAACCACCACACCACCGTGCCGCCCGGCTATAAACTAAACTGACTAAATGCCAGTGTTTCGGCTGATATTTACGCTTATTCAAAGGAAAGAAAAAAGGAATATCATCTGTCTTTGTCAGTCGTACCGATGCAGGTGTTGGTCCAGACTGAGTGGTGGTCCTGCTTGGCCACGCAGGCGTCACAGCTGAAGCAGTGCATGGCTCTCACCGGCTTCCTCACCTGGGACACAACAGGAGTCAGCCGCCGCCACTGTCCAGGTGGAGGGTTCGGGGGGGGTGGGGGGGGACACTCACCATGCACGTGGTGCAAAAGATCCTGGGGTCCAGACAGCCGGCCTCGGCCAACACCAGCACGTTCTGACAACAGCCGCAAAGGTTAAAGTTAAAATTAAATCCAAACCTCATCAGGCCAGGGACTAGCCGGCTTCTGACGTTCTCGTTAGCCTTCTGACCATTTTCTTCTTTTCCTCAGTGGTTTTGATGAAGCCCGGGTCCGTCCTGCAGGTGCGGACGTAGTAGTAGAGCAGAGCGGTGGCGTTCAGGGTGAACAGCACCTGGACCGTGGAGCTGGGGCCATGTGAGCGCTGGAGTTAAAGAGCTAATGTGCTGGCATTTTCTGTTTGTGGATTCGGTGTGTTACTATCAGTTTTGAGGCTGTTTGCTGCATCCTCAAAGTTTACTCTCATGGCTATGCCAAGCTGAGCACGACTACAGATGTGTGGACTGAATGAAGAGGAGGGGCTGCAACTAAAACTGGTTAAGCTATAAAAAAAATTAAAAAAAGGTGTTGAAATATCAGCTAAAGATGCTTTAACGCATTTTAAAAACACAGAATCAAGGCATCAGAAAACTGTAGATGGGAATAAGTGAACAAGATTCAGTGTCTGTGTTTCCTGACTGTTTTTAAATTAATACAGGTTTTCCAACCCTCTGTGAGTCATAGAGGAGTGTGGTGATGTCATTCAGACAGCCCTCTGAAGAGGCGCTTGCTTTTTCTTTTGCCTCTGAATTCAGAAGGCGATCCAGCAGGCAACAAAATCATGCACAGCTTCAGAAAATTCATCTCAGGGAAACCACAGAAGCAAACAGCAGCCGGAAAGGATATCTGGCAGGAACCAGAGGTACCAGGTGACCAGCATCCAGAAGACCGAAGCCATGAGAGTTGAGGCCGGGAGGAGAGAGTGGAAGTCTGGGCTGGGGAAATTCCTGTTTCACAAAAACACAACTTTTGTATTCGCGCACACACACAGAACAGGTTTGCTTCATGCAAGGCATAATATGACACGCTCTCACCTCGAGACCAGGTTGATCACACCCATCACACAGGCCAACAGGATCCCTTTGAGCAGCCAGGACTCAGAGTCCATGTCCACTATGGCTCCGACACAGCCGAACAGCGCCGTGCACGACAGGAACTGCAGGAAAACCTGGAAAACACCGCCAGGAGGACGCCATTAGAGGGGCTCACCCGGACGCAGGTTACATCCAAACAGACGCTGGGAGCCGCCAGGGGCTCGGCCCGATGGGGGGGGGGAGCTGTCCGGCAGCTCTTACTAATAAAATTAAATGGAGGAGGAACCTCTCTGCCATGCTTTTGAAACTCAGGCGGGGACATTGGGGGGCAATTTCAGCCACTGTTCATGGTCTTATTGCTGTTATTACTGCTATCATTAGTATCAATATCATTGCCATTATTCATCCAGTCTTTGTGTTACTGTGGAGGCTGCCTCTCTCTGCTCCCTCTGTCCTTCTCTCGCGCTCTCTCTCTCTCTCTCTCTCTCTCCCTGTTGCCCTAACGTTCTCTCTCTTTCTCTCTTTCCCTCTCTCTCTGTTGCCCTCTCTCTATGTCTCTTGCTCTCTCTCTCTCTCACCCCCAACTGGTCCGTGTTTTTCTTTCCCTGTGTCTCCTTGTGGAATCGTTGTTCTTCTGTAAATAACTTCAGAGTCGGTCTGAGCTGCTCTCTTTGGAAAGCTGGGAGATAACTATTGTTGTGAGTTGGCGCTATAAAAATAAAATTGAATTGAATGGTTGGAACTTGAGGGTTCGTTTGCAGACATGACTCAGAGCCTCTGTCCAGCCGTAGGGGGGAGCCGGTCGTACCCTGTATCTGTTCACCACCCGCAGGCAGCGCGAGCTGGAGCGGATCCTCTCCTGTTTGACCTGGTTGAGCATGTGGATGAGCAGCGGGCTGTGCACCTGGTGGGCCAGGTCGATGGGCGTGTGACCCTGAGGAGGAACACAGAGCATAGTTTACTGTCTGGGAGTGAGAAAATCAAAAGCTGTCAGCCCATCGTGTGCTCAGCTCCGTGGGGCAGGACGTGTTGGCAAATTAAGTTTTTATATCAAATACATGCAAAATAAACAGGGAATCAACAAAAAAAAATTTGAAATCCATTGTCCTCCATGTTATCCTGCAGTTTATCATCATTTCTATTAAATCGTTGGAGGCATGACGTGGTTGTGCCGCCAAGTGAGAGGATCTGAAAACGTTTTTAATAATATTATATTACAGCACAGCGACCACAGCGTTCCAGGAGATCTGCTGACAGAACATTTTCTGCGTGTTGGTTTCTGAATATGACGAAGAAATATTCTGATTTAGTCCGCTGGAGCCAATGTGACAGAATAGAACCAATCGGGCTGCTTTTGGTCAGAACTGAACAAAGTTTACTGTCACGGCTATGCCAAGCTGAGCACAACTAAAAATACGTGGACTGAATGAAGAGGAAGGGCTCACACTCCTAAAATTGGTTAAGCTATAATTAAAAAAATTATTAAATATCAGCTAAAGACGCTTTGAAGCAAATTAAATACAGTGAATCAAGGCATCAGAAAACTGTCGGTTTTTAAATTCAGATACACGTTTTCCAACCTACTAGTTTGAGCCCTGCCGGCTGATACAAAATTCCCCCTAATTTCCAACCCTGGTGAAAGCTTCCCGTATGGAATCCCCCCCCGTCTTACGCCGCCAGACCCAGCTGACGAGCCGAAGACCCTCAGCTGAATCAGGCAGCGACGGCTCCAACTAATCCTCCTCCTGGTCTTGGGCCGGGTCTCTTTTCAGGGAAGAGGGGGGGGTGAATTCGGGGTCTCACGTTGATGTTCTCGGCGTCCACGCTGGCCCCGGACTCCAGCAGGATGTGGGCGGCGTCCACGTTCCCGGCCAGCACGGCGCAGTGCAGCGGCGTGTTCCTGCTGACCTTGTCCACCGCGCTCACAGAGGCGTTGTTCTTGATGAGGAAGTTGGTGGGCTCGGGCCTGCGACAGAACAGGGTGGTCAGCGCCACGGACGCCGGGAAGCTCGCGAACCACCTCAGACGGGAGGGTCGGGCCGGGGGAAGAGTTCTGACCCGATAATCTTCTGAGCTGCCAGCATCAGCGGCGTCTGGCCGTTACAGTCGGGCTCGTCCACCTCCTGAGGAGTCACAACACGGAAGCCAACGTCAGCCAGAGAGGAGGAGAAAAACTATGCGGGTCCCGATCCGATATCTGGATCGGATCGGACGCCGATATTGGCAAAAAACTGCGTATCGCCGGCAGGAGAAAATGCCAATCCAGACTCCTGATCCAGTTTTTTTAAAGTCCGGTCCCACACGAGCATTAGCATTAGCATCTCCTAACTCACAGCTCTGTGACCATTAAGTTGTTATCAGAGTAAATCCCTGTTCAACATGAGTCTGAAAACTAAGTAAGTAGATAAATACCTTTAAACTTTAATACATGCTCTGATAGGCCGGGATCAGTATCGGATCGGAAGTGAAAAGAGCTGGATCGGGACATCTCTAGAATAAACATGACAAACAAAGAGGAAGGGGGGGGTCTGACCTGTCCCTTGGCCATGAGATAGGCCGCTATGGCCATGTGCTGGAAGAGGATGGCCAGGTGGAGCGAGCGGTAGCCCTCCCCGTCTGTGACGGAGGGGTCGGCCCCGTATCTCAGCAGCTGGATCACCATGGGGAGGTGGCCCTGCCTGATCCGGATTCACAAAGCAAAACAGGTGGACTGATTTAGACGGGCGGAACTGGAGCTGGAATCTGGAGCCCCGAACGGCCCGACTGCCCTCCCGCTCACACCTTATCGCCCAGTGGAGCGGAGTCGATTTCAGGTCTCCTCCAAGCTGGTCCACCACGGCCCCTTTAGAGATAAAATACCTGAGGGAGGACGCAGAGAGCTCATTGGTGTGGACTCTGGACTTCAGCTGGCGTACAAAAGCTAAGAAACAGCCTCTGACACACGACTGATTTTTGTTCCAGGAGTGACACAAAGAAACTCACCGTTTAACCCTTTTTAATTTATTCACTTAACCAAACTCTACTTTTAACTTTCTTCTTAAAAACACACAAACGCTTTAGTGCAACCTGACGTATCCTGAGTCTAAAGAGGACTTGAATGTGCATGCAGGCCTCACTTGACCAGCTCGGAGCGGTTGTTGATGGCCGCCCAGTGCAGCAGGGTGACGTTCTCTTTGTCCGGCTGCCGGACGTCGTACCCGGCCTCCACCAGCTCCTTGCAGCGCTCCAGGATGCCGAACCTGAGAGGAAACCACACGGTGAGAAGCTGCCGAAAAAAGCAAGGGGAACAGCATTCCTTTGGGAAACTCTCCGCGGATACAATGGACTTTTTATCTCCTTATGCCAGCACCTGAAGCCCCGGATATCGATTTGCATTTTGCAGTTTGGCCGCAACAAAAAAAAAGAAAGGGAAATAGTTGCTGTGCCAGCAGGTTTTAAAAGAAGCCGCTCATAGGGAGCATCACAACTGGAGCACAAAGTCAAAGTGTGAGCGACCTTCGCCGCCCTGAACCTCGGCGCCGTTTAGCTGTCAACGCTCGATAAAAGGACCACAGGATAAAAGTCTCCAAAGGCTAGTTTCCTCAGAGCGAGCGATGAAAGACGAGCAAATCCAAATCTGAAGCTTATTCAGACGGTTTGCTGCAACTTTCTGTGCAAACTCACAAGTGCCGAGCAGCCGTTTTAGATTTTGTTAGTTTGTTTTGCGCGTCCCTTGGTCGTGGAAAACATGCCGGCCTCAAACCAAGAAAAAAACACAGAGCGGAGATGACAAAAGTGCATTTTCTCTACCAGTAACCACCAAACCACCACCCCTCATTTGGTTCGTTAGCGCCATTATGACTCATCCAAACCACATGCTCACTTGTTTTTTATACTGGCCTCAGATATGAGAAATATTGCCATCAATGTGCAACATTAACAATATTCATTTAAGAAGACCCAAATAAAAGTCAGTGTTTATCAGAAATCTGCAGTTTTCCTTCTTTTTAAAAACCCAGAATGCAGGTAACAAATTCCGATGATAAATAATGAACATGACAGGAACCAAAACCTGACCCAACAGCGCTACAACGCACAGCTAAAGTGGACTCTTTAGTGGGTCAGATCTGAGTTTCTAACGGTTTAGGATCATTAGGACTGACTAATGACATCATCTACAACAGGCAAAGGAATTTAAAAAGGTTTTCAGCCACATATTCAGACCTCTATGCAGCATATAAAGATGCTACACACCTGGAGCTGATAAAAACCCACTAAAGAGGAGAATGCAGAATATCAAAAGCCTTGAAAATTTTCCAAAACCATAACAAATGTCTCCAGGAATCCAACAAAGGCACCGCTTTCTGCCCGCCATCTGGATGATGCATGATCCACAGGTCTGACTCTAACCAAAGCTGGAGATGTTACAGGGAGCCAATGGGCTCTCCGTTTATAAACCGATGGACACTCCAGTTCTAAAAACGACCGGGAAGAGGCTCAACAGAAGCAGGGCGACGCATTGGGCGCGACTCACTGTGTCGCCTTCACGATGTCCCAGCTGCTGCTGTCGTCCATGAGCGAGCGCTTTTTGGGCTGCTGGCTGATGTCCATCATCTGCTCCGAGCCTTTCCCCGGCGGCCCGTAGGCGGGCGCGTACAGGTGCGACAGCCCGCCGAACGCGGCGGCTCTCGGCCCGTGGCTGTGGGAGTGGCCCGAGTGGCCGTGCTGGCAGCCGTCCCGCATGTGGCCATGGCCCTGACCCAGGCAAAAAAAAAAGACAAAAAACAACACAGAGGATCAATCTAAGCTGCTCCACAGGGATCCATCACAGAGGGGCACAGCTTAGGATGAAAACAATCAGATCAAGTCTGGAAAGAGAAACAACAAATTCATGGACAGTAAACACTTAAAAAATAGTTGTTTTATTTAAAGTACGTGGATTACCGTATTTTCTGCACTATAAAGCGCACCTTCAATGAATGACCTATTTCAGAATTTTTACGATATAAAAATTACCACAATTTTTCCATATTTAAGGAGCACTGCATTATAAGGCGCATAGAGTAGAAGCTCCAGTAGAGGCTGGAGCTGCGTTATGCATCCACCAGATGCAGCTGCGCTAAAGGGAATGTTAACAAACAAGTCAGATTAGTCAGTCAAACTTTATTACTAGAACTCAAACCAGCGTTCTGACGACTCCGTTCACTCCCAAAATGAATAAACAGCTCTTTCTTTATTTTTCCCGAGGTAATGTCAGTGACATAGTGTTTTCAAAACACGGTTTATCTTTTAACAACAACAATGTATAATAGGTTGTGCAAGATTTTTATCAGATAGTGGAGGGGAACTTTTCCTCGATTCAGTAAACACTAACAGAAACAGTCTGATACGTTACGGTAAATCAAATGTTAGTCAATCACAATATATAGCGGTTAGCATAAAGCTGACCAGCTTTTCTCGTGAAAAACACACAAAAAAACCCCAGCCAGTATTGAATTATTTGAAAAACGTGTTGTCGTAGTTAGGATCAGATTCAACGTTTACCTTTAAAGACTTCTTATTTGGAAGAAAAAGGAGTCGGTGGCTGCTTCCCCTTGTTGAGACACCTGTTGTGACTCAATCCTGATCAATATATATGGCGCACTGTCGGTTTTTGAGAAAACTGAAAGCTTTTAGGTGCCTTATAGTGCAGAAAATACGGTAATTGGACCGGAAAAAAAAACAGTTGAGGTTCTGCAGGTGTTTTCAAACAGGAAACTGTTCCTCTGTGTTTCGTCACATCTGGCTCTCAGCTGGGTGGACCTCCCGACCCACAGAGCTAACAGCTATAAAGAATGACTCAGTGTGAGCTCATACAGGCAACACAAAGTGATAAAAATCAGTCGCCTCACACTGACTGTCAAACCCTTCATTGTACTGACTCCCACTTGATTCTACGTGGGCGTTTTAACTCTCCAGGATCCAAACTCCTGCAGATATTTGGTGTTTCTGTACATACTAACAAAGGGACAACACAATAAACACTTTACACATTAACTCATCTGTTGCTCAATTCTTCATCTACAAACAGAGAAAGATGAATAATTGGAGTCACATTGTGTGCAAAGGACAACTACCTGTGGTCTCAGCCTGAAAACATGTAAAGAAACTGGTTTTCTTTTCAACTTTGACTCCTGAAAACTAGTAGCTTGGGCTATTTGGTCAGAAAAAATAACTGATAGTATCACAGGTGCTTTCAGGTGAATTAATATTACTTTTTGGAGGAAAAGGGGAGGAGCCTTCATTTACATCAGGAAATCTAAAGGTGCTGCCATTCTTTGAGACGAGTCCAGATTTTTATGGAAGATCTAATCTACGGGAAGAAATTTTATTTTATTTTACTGTTCTAATGAGTTTTAAAGTTCACTTTCCTCGTACTTCTTAAGGACACACTGCACACTACGCTGAGATATCAGCTTGTTGCTGCCTTCAAACATCCTGTTTCCTGTCTGCCAAACTGGGTTATCTCTGACATTTTTCACACATAAACTCAAGAAATGGTAAAAAAAATAAAAAATAAAAATAGCCTGTTAAAAATGTTTCATTCAAAAGCTGCTAAATTTTCTTTGAGACACAACACCTGTTCATCCCTTGAGTTAGGGTTCTTTATATGCTTGGATTTGGTCTTTAATCAGTGATAAAGGACTGAAATTTACAGAGACTACAAAATTGGTCCAGGTCTATGAACTGGAGTGAAAATGAGCAGGAGGTGCTTTTTTTCAAAATTATAAATGACCTTAAAACTAGGTTCCTTTAAGGCAAATTGTAAGGAAATGAGGGGAGTCTCCAACCTTTTGGTGGAGATCTACACCCTCTCCATTGAGCTGAAACCAGTTGAGTAGCTGTACCAGCTGGAAGCAATTTTTCTAATGAGTGCCAATTAGAAAATATGTTCTGGTGCACGTGCTGGGATCATAACAGGCCGCTGACAGATGGCCAAGTTGCCCAGCTTCTAGCTCAATCTGGGATGTGCTCAATCACAATAGATGGACTTATCATGAGCCCCATTCGCGTTCTGAGCTTTTTAAGAGGCTTAACATGACACAGTAATAGCAGGGAGCGTGTGAGCGCGTGTTGAAGTGGTTGAGGACACCTGGCTGTCAGCGCATCGTCGCGTGAAACAGTCAAATCAGAGGTTTTCCGTAACGTGGACGTCGGTTATTTTCCAAGCAGGAAACCAGCTTAACGCGCCCCGCCGACCCTAAAACGGGACTAGCTAGCCAGGGCCAGGCCAGATACAGCCAATTAAGCCGACATACTACGAGGAAGGGGTTTTGTTTCCACGCGAAATGGTCCGCGCAGGTATTTTTTTTATGCACGAGCCAGAACTAAACGGCGGGCTAGCTCGTTCGATGCTAACAGCCAGCTAACGCAACGGCTGTAAACCGCCGCCACGGTCGGGCCTGAGCCAGAGGAAAAGGGAATAAAGGGCACAGGCGAAAGAAACAGGCGCTATTAGGCGAACCCACTCACATTTCCGTCTTCATTCCAGTCCATCTTTGCTGTGGAGGAACGAAGCGAAAGTTCCTGCAGCTGGACGGCGGCTAACGAGCTACTTCCGGTGGGAGCTTTTCAGACTAAAAGCCCCAATGAAGGCGCTCAAGGACTCATTTCAAATGAAGACATTTCTGCACATAATATAAACACCTTTCAGAGAGGGATTGTAGGGTGAAATCAACATTCTTCCTTAGCTTAGATCCGCAGATTTCCGAATGTTTAAAATTGCGAACGTGTCTGTCTTTGATTTTCTTTATTCTCCTTCAATCTTTCCTTTCCCTCTTTAAGTTTCTATTCTCATATGTCCGTTTAGGTTTCGTTTTGTTTTTTGGTTCCTTCAGCTCCCCTCTGAGTTCTGGTATTTTGTTTTTGCTCTTTTTTTTCGATCTCATACCTTTCTTTTTGTTCATCTGTTTTTTTTTCTGGATTTCCTGCTCCTCTGCACTCTTGCTTTGATTTTTGGGGGGCCTTTCTGCATAGCAGCTCCCCAGTAACTCTACCAGGATTACGCATTAGTAAATGAACAAACATGAATAGACATTTTGACATTTACAAACCTCCTCTATGGACACACAAACAGATATTTAAGGGAAGTGGCAGAAGCACTGTAAATCATCATCATCACATTTACACGTAATCAGAAGAAGTATAAATCTCTAAATCCTGCAATACTAAAGGCAACTAAGCCCAAAAACATCCAACATCATCGCTTGGAAAGAGGACAAACTATACAGGATTCAAGCACTCCACTTAATCTATGAAGACCAATTAAAGAAAATTCCAACAATCCAGTCCAAGTAACAATAAATAAATAGATAAAACATGGGAAAATGCATTAAATGCAAACCATTACAGCGTCAGAGTAACAGAAATGCACCAAAAGCAAATATTTGAACAGAATTTGGATATTGAAAAAAAAAGATTTTTGTTATTGTGGTTAATGTAGTTTAAACTTTGGCTTTTTAAAGGAGCAATTTATAGGAATTTAAATAAGATAAACTAACTGATAAAAAGATAAATTATATCGTTCAAGCAGATGAATTGTGTATGATGATTCTGTTGGATAAACAAAATAAAATTCTTTAAATGCTTGATATTCCACTATCTTGTCTTGTGTGACTATTGCTTGGTAGTAAATAAAAATATACTTGTACATTGCATTTTTCACAATCTGAGCTACTAGAGAGGAAAAAGTACAAAAGACATTGTGCAACTTGGATCACTGGCGGTCTAATTTCATGTTTTGTCCTTTTGATCTGTACCAGAAATCTGAATTTGGGTAAACTAATGAAACCTGAGGAGATGGAAACAGAAAACAGAATCTAAGTTAGAGATGTTGTCCTGTGGTATTTGACACATAGAGTCCACAGTGGAAGATTTGTGTGGGTAAAGAATAAAGGAAATAGGAACGAGGAAATCATATATCATCATGGCTGTCTAGTTTGAAGCCTTTGGACTGACCTGGACTCACACGTCAGCCATTAGACTAAAGGACAAATGCTTTTTGTCCTACACATTTAAAGTTTCCTGGTTGGCAAAGAAGACCATTTATGTGTATAGACTCCTTCCTGCCTAGATAAAACCAATATGCTGCATATACAGGGGAAACATAGAGCTGAATCCAGCACTATTTCTAGCCCTGCTCCCCAGAAGTTGCTTTAACTTTGCCTTTTGTACTCTACATAATCTACTGGAACCAGAATTTCCCTGAAGGAGTAGATTGAGGGATACATGAAGTTGAGTCTAAGTCTAAGTGTAAGAAGAGTCAGTCTCCCTGTCAGTTGTTCAAAATCACCCTTTGACCCCAAACATGTAACAACACAAAAAACAACTGTAGGCAGCACAAAAAAGATTGTCATGATAGCGTGCAATTGAGAAATAAAACAAGTCCAGAAAGCTTTATTGGGCCAGTCATGTGTTCACATCTGATCTCTGCCCTCTTCTGTCAAACAGCAAAAAGGGAAGAGAGTTTTTATCTGATCTGGTGAGATTTGTATAATTTACAGGTAGTTTTTATTGAGTTCAAGAATAATGAGAACAGATAATACATTAGACTGTCTGTTTATATCTATTAAGCATTAGATTTGAATTTGTCCCAAGATAAATACCAAATTTAAGCTCAAACATGTTCAGTCTACAGAAAATGGACTCACACATTTAAAAAAAAAAAACAGTAGATGGCGCCACAGGTTCGTCTGTATTTCGTTTCGTCTTTTTTTTAATCCTTTTTTCACTCAGAAATCATAGTCCATGAATAACATTTAGATATTATTCTTTCAAACAAAATGAAAATGTTGTTATAACTACCAAAGAAAGACTTTGTTATTTAAAAATTGTCAAAGAGTTGACCGTTGCTCCAATTTAGATTTTGTCTTGACTTTAAAGCTTTAACATGTTCAATACACACATAATCAAAAAGAGAAAAAAACCAAAGGAGAGAAGTTATTAAAAACAAGCGGTTGTTAAAGTCTTATAACATCTATTTTAGATGATTAAAAAACACAGTTATTTTCTGTTAATTATTGAATGGCGCCTAATTAAAGTGTTTCTTTTTCCACGTCAAACTCAGACTTGTTTCCTGACAAAAAGCTTTAAAGCTCTCAGAATTAACGAGCCCTGCAGTGTTTTTCCTTTAACTCTATTATTAAAGTTGACACCTCACAGATCACACCGACACGGCTCTTCACTATTTTCATTTTAAGAGTCAGTTTACATGGTTCCACGCGTGTGGGATCTGCCTTCCTTCGTGTAATTGCTGAAGTAATTGAGCTGTCAGAGGGAAGTCATAACAATGACGAGGAGGAAAGGTCAACAAGGCAGCCGTTTGCGTGAGTTACGACAGAAGACGCCGAACCAGGAGGAACTATTATTATTATTTGAAATGGTAGCTCCGGTTCTCCACTCAGGACACGCTGAGGCCATCAGCAGAGAGCCATTAAGGAAGCGAGGCCTTCCAGGGAAAACATGTAGAGGAAGTGTGTTTCACCAGCGGGAAACAGAGCAGGGGGGGGGTCGGGTGGACTTTGCTCCTCCTAAAGCCTTTGAGGAATTTGATAAGTGGCAAAAAATGTGTCTAACTGTAAAGCATTGACTCTTACCAATTAAAAAAAACAATATATTTGGCCTTTTTTGTGTGTATCTTAAGGATAAGTCTCTTTTAGGTTTCGAAGTTTTAATGCAAATATCCAAACAAACGCCCAAACCAGTTCCAAAAATGCTCAGAATCAGGGCGGTTGTGCACATCAGGGGTGGTTAAAGGCTCTTCTAAACAATATTTAGCACTCAGAATTTAATCTTAGCATCTTTAAAAGTTACAGGAGAAGTAGATATCTGGGTTTTCCTCTTGAACCTGTTGCCTCCGTAGCCTGGATTTGGATGAAAGGAACATGATAGAACAACATCATAGATAGCTGAAAGAGAATAGAAAGGCCAATTTTGATTTTTATGAGGGGACTCACTCAGATTGGTAATTCTGGGCTTCTTGCCAGATATATGAACAGCCACACCTTCATCTGAGGGCTGATTCACACGTTCATTTTCAGGTTTCCTGCAGTCCAGCTGCAGCCACAGTAGCAAACCCTGGGACCACCAATGGGCTTCCTCTGGTCACTCAATGAGTCCAAAAACATGCAACGAGAGCCTCTGATTGCGTCCAGGCCAGAAGTTGGGACCCGCTCCGGCCCCACCCCTGACCCTGAACTGGACTAAATGTGGTGGGAAAATAAAAATGTCCTCTGCAGAGCGCAGAGCGGCGACCCTTTCAGACACGATTCAGGCTGAAGGATAACGTCCACTTCAAGCTGACACAGACAGATTGTGAAGGGACTCGAGCTGAGACAGAACGGGGTTTATATTTAGTCCACAGCTCTTCGTGGTCTCTGTGAAAAAGAGCTCCTTCCTTCATTGCCTTCATATCTGGTGGGCATTAAAAATATGTGACTCCTCTTTTGGGTTTTCTCTGTTTTGTCACTCAATGTGCAGATTACACTGACCGGCTGATTAGAAAACATCTATTTAATATCATTTTCTTGTATTCTTTCTTCATGGACCACTAATAAAGAGACCTATTTTTTCCCATTTCTCCTCATTATTGCTTTGTTGATGCTTCCTTTTAATTTCCTTCGACTTATGTTTCATGATTATATTTTAATATGTTGATAAATTGTTTTAAACATCTGTTACTCAAACAGCTGATCAGTTAATTTAATTATTCCTGAAGTTATTACAATATATAGTGCATATTTCACCATTATTAATTTTCCTGCTAAAAATAAATAGGACGTTTAGTTTTGAATTATTAATTAGACTTCAAAATACTTTTCAACGTAAACGTTTGTAAATTGTTTTTTAAACTATATTCTAAACTTTTTTTAAACAAAAAAAAAAACGGTTAGCAGTTTCATCCTCAAGATAAACCCTCAGTATTATATTATCTACTGTAAAATGGTTATAAATATAAAACGTGTGATAACTTATTTTTTGTTGTTTAACTATATAAGAAGTTAGTTCTTATATATTCCGTATGTGCTCACTTTGCACCCCAAGGGCAGATTGTGTGTCTTTTTCCTCCAAAAATGTGTATATTCATTTGGTTTTCAACTATTTTTGTCTAGTGAAAGCTGTGATTTCGCAGAGAGAGTGAAAGTTAGGGCTCTCTCTCTCATTTCCACATTTCATGTTGAAATCCAATGTCACAAATAATGAGATTGCTGGTTGTTGCTGTCCTCATGAGAGTCTGGGAATGCTGACCCCAAAGTCCTGAACTGATCCACTTAACTGCTCACCATGTCAATGAAACCTTTTGGTATTGTTTCATTTAAACTGAATCTATTCAGCAGTCTCATCCAGTCAAATTTAGCTTTATCAATAAAGCACTTTAAAAGTACCGGACCCGACCAAAGTGTTTACAAAAAGTAAATAAAAGAAACATATGAGAGACAAAGCAGCATTAAATGTCAATAACACAAGAAAAGAGAAAAAACACTATTAAAAACAGCCCTCAATCGCACAAATAAATGAACATAAAAATCAATTAGAATCAAGTGAAAAAGAAGAATTTCTCTGAGGATTAAAGT